GTTTGCTTATTTGTTTGTTTTTGTATTTTTTGCTAATCACTTCCTCTCCGCCGCTGCAGTGACGCGCACGCCGGTCGGAGATTGGCTGCCTCTAATTAGTAGTCTGATCGGCGGCCTCTGATTGGCTGTCTGGGAGACTGGCGGCCTCTAATTGGCTGTCGCTGATCGGCGGCCTCTGATTGGCTACCGGCGGACACCGACACATCGAGTCGCTCTCCTCGGTGCTGAAATCGCCGCTAGTCTCTACAATGTAATCGGCGATGAGGCCAAACAGAGCATCGGCCAAGATAACACCAAAATGGACGATGACTTATTTCAGCTGAGACAACTTCCGTGAGTAGACTTCAGTCTGCATTTTTAAGCACATTTACTTTAAATCCTCTATTTTTCCTAAACATGTTTGTCCGACGTGTCGCCCTCTGACTCCTCCGTGTTTGGCTGATTAGCTCGCTTAAACCACAGATAACCAGACAGTCTCGTTAGACTGGTAGGCATCAGCCAGTCACATAGAAATGATATCAAGGGATTGAGCTAGATTAAATAAACATAAAATGTCAAAGCGTCTGATGTGGCTTCGGTCACAGTCATGTCCTAGAGGCTGGGATTGTTTAAGCAGATTTGTAGTACTGTAATGAAGTTATTGGTCCTAACTTGTTTTTGTGTTTACTGACATGACTGAGTCCATTACATGACTTATGTAAGCCTGCTGCACATACATTAATTAAGCCTGGATGCTATAAGTGTTTGCGTTTAATAAACACAGTAAAACAGAGGCCGCTTCCTTAAAAACTGCATAAGCCTACCAAAGGTGATGGAATAAAAAATGCTTATTGTTATATAACTTCCTATAGATTTGTTAGATTAGTAAAAGAAAGGCAAACAAATGTGCTATATATCAAATTTAGCAAGGAGATAGAAAAAAGGATTAATACATAATAATTAAAATTTCACTCCAAATAGTTGTGTGTGTGGTGGGGGGGGGGGGGGGGGGGGGGGGGGAGGGAGAAATATCTGACATGTAGCACTGATGTCAGATATAAAGGAGGCCATGTTGCATAATTACAGTGATTAGAGCATCACTGGCTCACTCCACTTTCTTTGTAAGTGTAACCATCAATTATCTGCATGGGGAAGAAGATTATAAGCTTCTTCTATCTGTAGAGATTATAAACATTGCATCTCATCCTTTGTGAAGAGAGCTGTAAAGAGAGATGTAGAGAGCAGGTCAGCAGCTTCAAGTTCCTCGACATTCACATTACTGAGGATGTGTCCTGGACATTACATGCAGACACTGTGGTCAAGAAAGCCAGAAAAAGACTGCTTCCTAAGAAGACTAAATAAGTTTGGTACGAACACCAGCATCCTCACTAACTTTTATAGGTGCACCATTGAGAGCCTGCTGACAGGCTGCATCACAGGGTGGTATGGGAACTGCATCAGTCAGAGCTGGAAAGCACTACAGAGGGTGATGCAAACAGCAGAGGACATCACTGGTGGCAGTCTCCAGACCATCCAGGACATCTACCACAGCTGATGTCTGCGTAAAGCACACAGCATCATTAAGGACCACACCCACCCAGCACAAGGACCCTTCTATCTATTACCCTCAGGCAGACGATACAGGAGTCTGCCATCACACATGAAAAGACTCAAAGACAGTTATTATCCACAAGCTGTCAGATTACTGAACTCTTGATAATAATACTGAACAATTTACAATAACATTGCACTAAGGCCCATCTGTGACACCTGATATGTTTTTTTTGCTGCTGCACTATGTGGCTGTCTCATGTATGTCACTATCTTATCATCATAATTCAGTTAATCTCAATGTTACTACCTGTGCAATAACCTGTCACACAACCTGTGTAGTTTATGTTATGTGAAATATATATGTGCATTTAAGCTAATATTACTACCTGTGAAATACTTATTCATACAAATTCATCCTACTTGCAACATTATATTCTACCATGTTTTAATATATTTCTTTTGGAGCTTGTAAATTATTATTTTTTTTTCACTTTTAGATAGATAGATATCTTTATTTGTCCTCGTAGGGAAATTAGTTTGCAGCATTGTCAGCAGGCTATTACATAAAGGACATACATATAAAAACATGAAATTAGCATCCATCATTACAGCAAAGAAGTTTGAGCTCAGTAATTTATGATACCTTTTTATTACTTAATGATTTAATCGCTTGTGGTATGAAAGAAAATTTTGTCCTGTTTCTTGAGAATAAAGGAAGACAGTACCTTCTCCCTGAAGGAAGCAACTCAAATGAGGATCTTAGGGGATGTGTATTCTCTGCTATAATCTTGTTTGCCTTCGTCATAACTATGTCCATGTATATTGTTTCCATACTCGGCAGTGGTCCCTAACAGTTTGCTGGCTGTGGTTACGATGCTTCTCAAGGATTTCTTCTGAGCCTCTGTAACATTGCCAAACCAACAGATGTTATAAAACGTTAAAATACCCTAAAGAAAAGCAGAATAAATCATTAAAAGTTATTGACTCTAAAATATCCCAGGTTTTTTTTTTGGTACTTTATTTTGTACCCTTCTTGCATGCTTTAGTATTTCTTGTTTTCTTTTTTATTAGCGAGTCAAATTGATTCTTCGCACCCTGAACATTTCATTGCATTGTTGACCTTATGTTAACCTGACAAATAAACAACAAATATAACAAATGACCTGAGATGGCCACCAAAAATTCAGATTTAATGCCAAAAGAAGCTCATATCGACAAGGCAACCTCAAATTCTCATTTGTGCTGTTTTGCCCTACATGGTACCAGCCATCTAAACTCAAACCAAAACAGAACTTTATCCTCCTGCAGCTTTTTTCCCCTTCCAAAAATGTATGCTCAAACATTGTTGTTTTGTTTCTTTTATCCATCCTATTTTTGCAGTGTTGTCCGCTTCCGTCACACAGGTGAGAGCACTCGCTCAGAGGAGGATGTTGAGAACAGAGGACAGGAGGTCAGGACAGCAGAAGATGTGGATGCTGATCTGGAGCCTGTGGCTCTCGCAGAAGGAGCTCCGGTGCCACGAGAGTTTGCCAATCCAACTGATGGTACAGCATGGCAGATTAGAACCAACAACAGTAAACTGAAGTGATGCTTCTCCCATGTCCCTCAAGATTATCGTGTTTCTCGTTCCTTCAGACACATTCATGGTAGAAGATGCTGTGGAGGCCATAGGCTTTGGGACATTTCAGTGGAAGCTGTCCATCCTCACGGGTCTGTCCTGGGTGAGAATTCTTCAAATACCACACAAACTCAGCACTTTTTAAAATTTTTATGTTTGTTTTGTTCTTTGCACATAAACTTTCTGGATGTATCTTGGTGTCCCATTTTCTCAGATGGCAGATGCTATGGAGATGATGATCCTCAGCATCTTAGCCCCACAGCTCCACTGTGAATGGAGATTGCCGAGCCTCGAGGTGGCACTGCTCACATCGGTAACGGTTCATTAAAACTCCAGCTTCCAGTGCTTGACTGAACTGATAGTTAGTAATTAAAGCACATGGGATTGATTTAAAACATTTGCTTTTACATAAAGCAACAGTAACAGAGTGGGAAAACACGAGACAAGAACAGTTTTTAATGATCAATTTGATTGATTTTCAAAGCTGTCTTTATCACTGTGAAGATATGAGAGAAACATCAAAATAAGAGTTGAACCTTATTGCAGAGGTATGAAGTGGTGCTTTACCCTTACATACACAGAGATGTGATGAATTCAATGTTACATTTCAGTGGCTCTGAACAAAACAAAAATATCTCCTACAGTTTGATAATATTGTACTATTTATGTTGTGCATGCTCCTTCAAAATAAAAACTAAACACGGTGGGCATGAATTAATCTTTCCATTTGTGACACAGGCAGTATTCATTGGGATGATGATCAGCTCGTCTCTTTGGGGAAACATATCTGACAAATACGGTAGAAAGACGGTGAGTTCTACTGAAAACGTTTCAGGCCTGTGATTAAATAATGTCAGTGTAGGTGTTAAAACCTTCATTATGAGTTTCCATCTAAATGCAGGATTTTTGATCAATATTGGACGGCAGGTGTGCTGCATTTGTTGTGGTTTGTGGGTGAACTTATGTTGTGATTTTGATCGTTTGCACTAACAGGGCCTGACAATGAGCGTTCTGTGGACCATTTTCTACGGTGTCATGAGTGCATTTGCTCCCATTTACGGGTGGATCCTGGTCCTTCGTGCGCTGGTGGGCTTTGGCATTGGAGGGGCACCGCAGTCGTGAGTAATCCTCATTAATCCCTCTAAAAAGCATTATAATTAATTAAATGAGCGGGGGGTTACAACAAAGCATTGCTTCTTTTAAGGGTGACCCTGTATGCTGAATTTCTTCCCATGAGGTCCAGAGCTACATGCATCTTGCTGATTGAGGTATGAGTGGTCCCCTACTTGATGTTGAGCACAAAGCGTTTTTATTTTTCATTTTAAAACTTGTGTTTGCTGGTGTTGCAGATCTTTTGGGCTCTGGGCACAGTTTTTGAGGTCCTTTTAGCGATCCTGGTGATGCCCACTCTAGGCTGGCGCTGGCTGCTCGGCCTTTCCACCATCCCTCTCTTCATATTTGCTTTCCTGTGTTATGTAAGTGAATTATGCCTGAGTGGTTGTACAGCGCTACAGCTGTGTGAGCATGACATGCTGACTTTTGTGGGTTGTATGTGGACACAGTGGCTGCCAGAGAGTGCTCGGTATGATGTGCTGACAGGGAACCAGGAAAAGGCTCTGGACACTTTGAAACGCATCGCCAAGGAGAACGGAGCCCCCATGCCCCTGGGTAAACTCATCGCTGACAGACAGGTACAGCACATGCCCTGGATTAAACACATTCATGTCATACAGTCATCTATGGACTCAGCTTTTGTTTTATATCTGTCTTTTTAAATCAGGAAGAGCGTGGGAAGATTCAAGATTTATTTTCATCACATTTCCGCTGCACCACAGTTCTGCTGTGGTTTATCTGGTAAATGAGTGAATCATCCTCTATAGCCTCACAATCTTTTCAAGCATGCACAGTTTAGTTTATGTTTTATTGAAATCTCCCCGCTCAGCCTGTTTTGGCATGATTTCAAGTTGCGTCTGTCAGTGCAGGTTTGCAAACGCCTTCTCCTACTATGGACTGGTGCTGCTCACAACAGAGTTGTTTCAGGAGGGAGGTGCATGTAGAAGTGAGTCAGACACACACTGGGGGGTTGTTACATTTCTACACAAAGTATTTTAAGAAATAATGAATGAGCAGCTGCTGTTTGATATCTCCCTCTAGTGTCCAAACAAGATAAGAAGGAGCTCCAATGCAGCTTAGAGTGTAAATATCTGAATTCGGATGATTATAAAGACCTGCTGTGGACGACGTTGTCTGAATTTCCAGGTAAACTGCAAAATACCTCATGAACCACCAGACAAATTTTATAAAATTCTCAGAAAGTTATCATTTTATGATCATCTACAACTGATTAATCTTTGAAACCACCTAAGTGAAGATGGCCACCACAGACAACTGCCATAGGAAAACAACAGATGGCAATAACATGGCAGTAGCTGAGTGATTCACTTCACATCAGCTCGTGAGATGTCACAATACTGTGTGAGATTGCGCATAACGTCACTTTTACTTATAACTTTGTCATTTTTCTTCATAGATGACATGAAAGTCGCCTAGTGATAAGAAATGCTAGGCCTTTGATTTTTAACAGCAGTGGTTTTATTTATTTTGTGCATGAAATAATGAAATATTAAGAAACATATCAGTTTGTAATTTATTACATTCCAAAAATTAATTTTTCAGATTCCTGCTGACATATTTGAGCAGCAGTCTCTTTTCCTTCTGTACCTTTAAGTTGGAGCATCATCACTAAAGGAGACGCATGATCTTGATTCCTTTCAGGACTCCTGGTGACTTTGTGGGCCATTGATCGACTGGGACGGAGGAAGACCATGGCGCTGTGTTTCCTCATCTTCTCTCTGTGCATCATTCCTCTGTATGGCTGTGTAGGGAGGTAAGTTAGACTTTAGTTAAGCTTCATGAACTGCAGACCCTCGTTTACCTGCACTCACTCGTACTGCTTCATTCCTCACAGAGCTTCCATGACGGTGTTAATTTTTATTGCCAGAGCATTCATTGCGGGAGGTTTTCAGGCTGCTTACGTTTACACTCCTGAGGTAATAAATCCTGATAAACTGCTGCGTTGGTTTGTTTTATGTCAAATGAAAATGGGCCAAATCCTCCGCTGTGCAAAGAGAAACAGAACTGAACTTTTTTCTGTATTTTCTGTAGGTTTATCCCACAGCAACCAGAGCTTTAGGTTTGGGAACAAGCAGTGGAATGGCCAGAGTTGGCGCACTCATCACTCCTTTTGTTGCACAGGTAACACCTTGCTGTCATAAAAATTGTGCAAAACAAGAAAGACTCAGCATGAAACTGCACTAGTTTAATCATTCAATGCTGTTATCTGGGTTTTGACCTGCAGGTCATGCTGGAGTCCTCTGTGTACCTGGCTCTCTCTGTGTACTGCTGCTGCTGCCTCTTTGCTGCCGTTGCCTCCTGCGCTCTGCCCATTGAGACTACGGGCCGAGGTCTGCAGGAGTCCAGCCATCGGGAGTGGGGACAGGAGATGATCGGCCACAGCTCAGGAGGGATCCCTCACTCCAGCTCTGGCTCCCAGGGCTGAGGACGAACACGCTGGCTGACATGCAACCAAAAAGGGAAAAGGCGAGACGAGAAGAAACAGGACAAGAGAAGAAAGCTAAAGCAGATTTTTGGTCTTCATCTGTGTTTCTTCTGTTTAGACATCATGGTGGCAGACGAGAGCCAGGCGGCACGGTCTTTTCACAGCACGTCACTGCGTTTGTAATCTGTCAACACCACTGCTGTCATGTTTCTGCCACGGTTTAACTCCACACAGGGGGGGGTTAGTAAATGACCTAGAGAAGTGCAAATGGTTGAACAAAGCAGAGTTTCTTAAAGCAGTGAAAAAGTGACTAAATATATATATTTGCTCCTAACGACTACCTACTTTTTAAAGAGCCTTAAAACTACCTAATCAGTTTGTGGCAGAAAGGCCCACTCTGAGAAAGCTGCTTATTTGAGTTTATTGAGCATCGGCGCTCTCACAGAAAACGGGATTATCTTGTGCACACAAATTTTCTGCTGAAACAAACAAAACCGGTGTTGTTGGAGTCAAAAACAACTCTTCAATAAGCCAACTGTTTTCAGTAATATTATGTTTGCATTTTATCTTTGGTTTGCATTTATTTTAAAGTGGAAGGATATTTTTCACTGTCTAAAATCATGAGGAAAATACAGGTATTATTGAGGTAATATTGATTTTCTGTGATCAGAACTGCTAAAACTTTCATCAGAGGACAGTCAGGTGAGTTGTAGGACAATGGAAATGTTTCCACATGAAAAAAGCAACAGTTTCAACAGGAATCCAGAACATACCAGTATTTGACCAACATTAGCCGTTTTCCTGTATGTTAGCTGAGGTATAAACCTGTAGTCCAGGTGGAGCCTGCATTCTCAAATGGACATTCTGATAACTCATTTAAAATAATATTATTTATGGGTTTATAAGATTGGAGATACATGCTGACCAGCCAAAGAAGGTGTGGTTTAACAAACGACTGAAACAACTACATGAACACTAAATTACTGATAAAAATGAACAAAACATGGCTTTTAAAAAGCAGCTCCAATGCATTTTATATTTCATTTTAATGGCATAGAAGACAAATCATTCTACTGCCAATGCAAAAAGTGGAGCTATTAGATATCAGGGTGTAAGGAGTTAGGCTCATGACAGAATTAAACGTTTTGATTTTTAAAAATCGTGAAAAAAAGTTTGAGATCACAGTGACATCATCATGATGCTTCTTTTGAAAGTTTAAAATAAATTAAAAAAATTAATCCAAGTACAGATTGCCTAAAAGTGACTGCAGGCTGATGGTAGGCTTGAAAAACATGACGTCATTGCTCCTGCTGCTCAGACCAAACCACGACTTTCACCTGGACGTGATGCTCACGCCTTGTAAATAACTTTGTTAATTTTCAGCTCGGACGCCGTCTTTGCTTCCGTTTGTAACAAAGGTGACGTGAAGACAGATTTGCCAAGCACAAGCCCAGCGAGCCGACTCAAACGCCTGCCAGTGTTTGAGAGGTAGTGCTGCATTAAGTGTCTGTGTGCACAGATTCTTGTTGATGCAAAGAATGTAAATGTGTATGATACTACAGTAAATAGTCTTTCAAAAACCAGGCAGTGGATTAATATTGTCTTTTATTGCTCAAACATAACACATACTAAGTGATTTTACAACATCACATTTACAACAACAGATTTAATTAATCAAAGCTGATATGGATTTATGCATACATCTGAGCTATCTTTTTATTACGATTGCACAACAGTAGAAAATATGTTGTTTTTAGTGTATTTAATACCCGTTTGCATTAAAAATTAAGAGTTGGCATGAATAAGGAAAGTGCTGAGGTTGAATTTAGGAAAAGTAGCGTACCGTTCTTTACTACTGCCAGCCACACATTGGAGTTGATGACGCCATCATCTACCTGCTGCACAGAGCCTACACGTACCTTGACAGGGCAGGTAGCACTGCAAGTCATGTTCTTTGACTTTTCCAGTGCTTTTAACACCATCACACCTGCTCTACTCTGCAGTAAGCTCCTGGACATGTAGGTGAACGACTCGCTGGTCATCTGGATCAGAGACTACCTCACAGGTCAGCCACAGTATGTGAGGCTGCAGAACACCACCTTGGACATCAGACTGAGCAGCCCAGGGGCTCCTCAGGGGATGGTCCTCTCACCGTTTCTGTTTACCCTCTACACCTCGGACTTCAGGTACAACTCACGGTCCTGTATCTGCAGAAGTTCTCAGATGACTCTGCCATTGTGGGCTGCATCACTGGTGACAAGGAAGTTGAATACAGAGGTGGGTGGACAGAACCACCTGCATCTCAATGTTGGAAAAACTAAAGAGCTGCAGGTGGACTACAGGAAGAAGAGCAGCCCCCCAACCCTATCAACATCAAGGGTACTAAGGTGGACACTGTGGACTGCTACAAGTACCTGGGGGTCCACCTAGACAATAAACAACTAACACCAACACTCTACAAGAAAGGACAGAGACACCTTTTTCTTCTGAGGAGACTCAGGTCCTTTAACATCTGCAGATCCATGCTGCAGATGTTTTGTTACTCGGTGGTCTCCAGTGTCTTCTTCTACGCTGTGGTGTGTTGGGGCAGCAGGGTGAAGAAAGCTGATGCCAACAGACTCGATAAACTCATCAAGACCGGGCTCAGTTCTGGGAGTGGACCTGCAGTCTCTGACAGAGGTGTCTGAGCAGAAGATGCTGAGGAAACAGCTCCAGATCCTGAACAACACGTCACCCCCCCGCATGACACACTGGACTCTTACTGCAGCACCTTCAGTCGTAGACTGAGACCACCGAGGTGCTGCACAGAACACCACAGGAAGTCCGTCCTCCCTGTGGCTATCAAACTTTTTAAATCATCCTCCTTTCTGCACATAGGACAATAAAATTGATCCTGCATCACAATAAACTCTTTAATGTTTCTGTCTGCACCTGTTTAGAACTTAATTGTTGGTATTGTTTTATATTCTCTGTTATTTTTTTTGTATCTTGTGTGATTCCTTGTTCCTTTGTACTGAAACTCTGGCACAACAATTTCCTGCGGGATCAATAAAATTATATCTTATCTTACTTATCTTATCTTATCTTAGCTTAGCTTACTGGACACAGAACTACAGGCGAGCTTTGGGACGTTTTCCCTGTTCTTCCACGATCTGACCAAAGAGCCTCGCTGCCTCCTCAGCGCAGCCTCGGTGGATGGTGAGCCCGAAGCCTCCGTGGCCGTAGTTGTGTATCACCTGTTTGAGTTGTGCAGTGTTTTAGAGGCTGGGTAAACAAAGCAGGTCATGTTTTAGAAGCTGCTGTAATGTTTACCTCTATTGCAGATGGACCGGACTCTATGGTCTCCCGCTCCAGTCGGACTTTGCTGCGAGCAGGTCTGAGACCAGACCAGTCCTCCACTATGCTGGCATGCTGAGGAGAGACAACAAGATACAAGCAGGATTTTTAGCTATAAAAGAAAAGCAAATCAGTTAAATACTTCAGCAGCACAGAAAACTCAGCGTGAATACTTTCAGCAGAGGCAGGTTGTTATTTGTTGCTTCCTGCTTCTGAAACAGTCTCACCTTGAGGCTCGGCTCAAGCTCACAAGCTGCTTCCCAGATGTGTTTGTGGTCGATGGAGTTGTTTTGTTGGCTCCAGTTTCCCACCTGGAAGACGCCTCCGACTGTCACAAGACGACTCCTGCCAACACAGAAAACAGCCCCCCGCTCTGACTGACACATGATGTAAACAGAACGGTTTCTCAGGACGAAACGCTCTATAAGAGAAGGACCTGTGTGATCACAAGGTGTTTATCAGTCTGTTGTGTTGCTGCCATTACCCTGGAATGATATACGGGGAATTGTAGACTCCATCTTTAAGGCTATGGGTAATAATCCAGTGCTTCAGCCAGGGGGCATCCACCTTAATAACAGATGAGTAAAAGCTCTTCCTGTGGTCTCTTTATAGTTATCCAAACTGTCTACATGCATTGGAAACTTCTCATTCTCACCTTTAGTATCTGACCGCGACCCGGTTTAAGGTCCGGGTCTGGCTGCAGCTCTCCTGATCTGACCCCGGTGCAGTTTATTATCACATCTGCCCCAGCTTCGGACAGCTAAGGATAGTCAGGGACAATAAAAAGAACCAGAATGTTAATAGATGACATTTCCAAACGGCGTAAGCAGCTTTTCTAAAACTCTGACCTTTTGAAATGACTCAATTTTCTTCTGATAAAATTTCACCCCCCTTTCTTTCAACCTGTAAAAACAAAAATTACAAGATCTTCCCTGAAACAACAGCTTAACGAGACAGTTCAAATAATTTAAGCAAAGTTCCATGAATAGGTAATAAACAATATCTTACCTGTTGTAGATAGCTCTTTGAATGACTCAAACTCTGACTAGATTTTAAAGAACAAGTGGCTTGTTGAGTGGCACCAAGACCAACGTTGATCTGGACTCTCCCCAGAAACAGAAAGAAGTTTCAGAAAGAGGTTTCAGGTGAGTTTCCCTCACCGACCTTCTTTGTTCTTCCTTTAGTGACCTCCGAGTAGACTAGACTCAACCAATCCCTTATCACTGCAGGACTTTAGGCTCATCGTGATCCTTATGGTAGGAATTTAGAAAAATATTGTGCGAAACATACCAAAGTTTAAACTAAGTCCTGGAGGTTCACAATATCCAGGATATAGACGCTTTGGAAGTTTCCACATGCTACCAAGAATGGCAAGACCTATCTATGTAATCAAACTCCCCTCCGGTTCTGAGGTTAGGCGGTTCATTGAGTGCCAACCGGCTACTGTTAAAGCAAACAGCTACAAAATGTTAGAAAAATAAGGTTTAGATGGCTGCAGCTGACTTTGGTCTTGGCCCCACTCAGAGTAGCTGTTAGCTCGTCAGTTCAGTCAGAATTAAACTATTTTTCCAAATGTAGGTTGTTCCAAAAGCTATCTACAACAGGTAAGATGTTCGTAACCTTTCTTCTGAACCCCACTGCAAAACATCTGAAATATCTCTTTAAGAATCAGCAGTCATAAACATTTGGCAATTTTTGACAATTGTTCTGAGTTTAAAGCTTTTTCAATTCTATTAACTTTTAAGTTGTTGATTTTTATGACTTCAAAAAAAAAAAAAACTTTAAATACTCTTAATTGTATTAAAATGGTGGTAGAATTTTCTAAAAAGATTAAAAACCAAACGTCACTTCATTAAAACAATAGTACAACTGTGAGAGATGAACTTTAAGCTCAGGATGAAAACTACAATTTTCATCAAACTGTTGATAAATATTAATTTTCTTTACAAGCTGTGTAAAAAAGCCACACTAAATGAGGTTAAATCTATATTTAAATAGTAAATAACTTAAAGCCGTGTTGTGAACATGGGGGTTAAACTGAGGAGGGAACAGCAAATCAAATCAAAGCCACTAACTTTATTATGCAATTAATTGGGTAATCAGACAATCAATGATGTTACAACAGTTTCTATTTTTCTGCAGCATAAAAAAATTAATAAAAAAGCTGATTTGATATGAGGCGAGGTCGTCACTCACCAGTCCATCAGCCAGGGTAAGTATGATTTACCTTCCACCATTAGGGCTGTGTTGAACCAGCCATGCCTGCAAAAACATGTTAGAGTCAGAGACAGCACATTTAACCTAGGATTTACTAAAATGTTAAGATAATAAAGAATGAAAGGTTTAGATAAATATATGTTCAGTCTTTGTTTTATATGCATGCTGTTGTAAGATTTCAGCTGAATTTAATCTTGTACAGCTGAAAATGCTGCAAGTATGATTTAAAAACAGCTGGCAGCCAGACTGATTGGGCCCCAGTTATATAAATTATATTGTTATTTTTGAGCTGCCTTAATGAGATGTGGGCAATTTTGTCATTGCCTCTGTGTGTGTAATGTGTCTGTTAGCAAAATATTTCATGAACCACTTGACAGACTTTGATAAAACTTTTGGCAAGTTATTATTGGATAAACTTCTACAAATGATTAACTTTTGGAGTCAACCTTGTTTAAGATGGCTGTCACAGCCAATCATCCCTAACAAACACAAAATTAGCTGCAACACAGTCAATTTTACAGATACTGAGCTAAAATTTGGTATGGTAGTAGCCAAGAGTCCCCTCAAAGACACAGTCTAAGAACTGAATATCATGTTAGGTCTTTTTTTTTTTTTACTTTGGCATTAATTATTATGGTCAACTTTGCCTGTCTGTTAGCAAATTATTTCAAAGACCACTAACTGGACTTTAATGAAACTCTCAGAAATGTATCATTGGATGAACATCTACAACTGATTAACTTTTGGAGTCAACCCAAATCAAGATGGCGACTTCAGTTCATTAAACTTAGCCAACACAGACGTGGCTATAATTCATTTTTATAGAATTTAAGTGAAGACTGTGTGGTAGTAGCTGAGAGTCATTTCCAAAATATACTCCAAGCACTAACAGACTGCATGAGATTTTGCAATATCTGCATCATATTATGTGACCAAAAATTAGAGCTGGTCGGTTCCTGATCTAAACGGGTTAATGAATCGAATCCAAGGTCTAAATTAATCCAAATCCCTCATGTCCTCTGGCAGACTACAAATAAAAGTTTGAGAGTTACAGAATCACATGATGCGGCCAGACACAAGTCGGTTCGCTGCACCAGTGTAATAACTCACCGAATATGCTGCAGAGATTATTTGAGGGCTGTTCGGGTTAAAATTCACCAGAAAAATCAGCTGATTCAGGCCGAGGCAGTGAATTTAAGTAATGAATTAAATGTTGCACTAAGCCAGTGGTTGAAAGCATCGGTGTTCATCACGTGGCTGCTGATATAATTTATGCGCATGCTGATGATCCTGACTCTTATCTCTCGCTCTCTGTGTGGGTTGTGGGAACGACTCAGATTAACCCGAGTCTTTAACGTGAACCGAATTTACCAGCTTTACAAAAAAGCCTAAAGCTCCATCATTTCTCAAGATACTCAGATTAAAACCCAGCATGACAGGTGGGTGATATGCATTTCCTCAAAGAATGCTGGGCGTTTATTGTCAGGGACAACTCACGTGTATCCTGGAAACATCTGAAGCTCTCGCTCTGTGAGCTGTCTGAAGCCCAGGACGATGTCTTTAAATGAAGGGTCCTGCAATTACAATGAGAAAACAAATGTCTTAGCTGTGTTGGGGGACAGAATCCCCATTAACCCAGTGAGGCCTCTTTTTATTCACCCGTCCTTTGTGCATCTGAACAAAGCTCTACTTTTAGCACAGCTGAAATGAATCACAGGACTTTAACTATAGAATGCAATAAACTTTTGTAATGATTTATCTGGAAGGTAAACTGCAGCTAATTTTTCACCCTTTTCCACCTTTGTTCTTTGTTGTAAAAAGGCTAACAAGGTCCAGTCTTATCCCTGACGTTGTATTTATAGAACATTTTCAAAGATGACAGCCGCACTCACTGGCATTGGATCGGTGCAGATGTTGTAGCCCGACTGAAGGAATAAACCCATTTTTATAGACTCTGGTGAGCTGAGCCACTTGAGCAAGTAGTCGAACGTCTCCTTATTCCATTTCCTAAAAAAGAAACAGGATTACAGTGATGATAAAGCAAGCGAAGAGGGATTGAAATGGATAGAAAAAGAGATGGCACACACGTTTCCTGGACGTTGCCCTTATCGTGGAGGTACGGCTGCCAGAGACCAGCGGCTCCATCGCTGGTGGTCAGCGGAGTGAAGCAATCTGCGTACACCTCGATGGTCAGTGGGCTGACTTTGGAGTGAAACTGCTCATAGATGCTCTGAGCTGTGGAGAGGCCAATGACTCCAGCTCCAATCACTGCCACCCGCATCTCTGCACCGGATAAATAAGACAGTGACATCTCATTACCTCAAGACTCTTCTAGATCACATCACAGGGGGCTATGGTTAGACCAAACATTTGAAAGCCATTGTTCTGTTAGATTATCTGTGTAGAAACAATGAAGACTGCTAAATGAAATAAAATGAATGAAACACAATAAATGAATAAAGTTAGAGATGCACTGATAAGAAATAAGAGGAAAACAAATCACAAAGGTTAACATAAAGCTAAAAAAAAAAAAACGGTAATGACTGATCTACAACTCAATGAATAAGACTTCATAAACAGCAGACATGTCGGATGATACTTTGAATTATTGAAGCAACAGGTTTGTTGTTACTCATAAAAGAACAGCATAACGCACAGTGTCGACATAATCCCGTGTGAACTCACTCTAAAAGTTGCAGAAACGTTTTGGCCTTACCTCTAACCAGTTTTAACCCACCAGAGCCTCACACTCTGACTGTTGAGGGCCAGCTGGAGGGCTGTCACATGGAGGGGGCGGAGCCTGAGGCTGCGTTCACGTCCCCTCGTTCAAACGATAATCTGACTGTTGAGCACGTGTTCTGATAAAAACCGACTCAAAACAGTCTTTGGGGGGCACGCAAGCTGGGTAAATGGTGGCGTTTATCGTTTTGGTTTATCGTTGCAGCGAGCACTGGGCAAAGTTTTCCCTACCCCATGCAGTAAATGAAACCTGTTGGGCTAGGGCGCCTGGGGGTGCAGATGGCGGGGGTGAGTTAAGGGCCTTGAACAAGGACCCTTAGGGTAAATGAGGGTGGAGGCAGGTGTGTGTGTTTCACCTTTCCCACCCTCATTTTGATGGTGTCCGTCCAAGGGAGTCGATCCGGCAACGTTTGATCAAAGGCCCAACTTCTCGAACCTCTGCGCCACCACACCACTGTACCTAGTTATTTCACAAAACAACATAATAAATTAAATATATCCTACCTGGATTTTTTTTTAGCTCATAAAAAAAAAGATGAAATTCTTATATGCATTTACAAATTATTATCAATCTGTTATTTAAAATGTGTATTTTAACCTTTATCTAGAACTATAAAATTATTTCAACCTTATTTACCCAAGTACTTTTCACAAAATAAAATACTTTCATTGCCTCAGTGCATTACAATGAAATTAATTGTATTTTTTTTTTATTAATAAAAGAAAACATAAAATATCCTGATTGTAAAAATAATCAGGTTATTACAATGGATTCAACTGAAGAACAAGTTATATGTGTGTGACAGGCTGCTGGTATAAAGATCTCATAAAAAATGGGGACTAAGTTAGTTTTGTGCCGTGACAACGCTGGTTTATCCTTTGAGTTTAAAAGTTTTTTAAATATTCAAAGTTCTAAATGGCCTTAAAGACATTCCTCTGAAAACGACCAGGTGAACAGAAACTGTATGAAAAGGCAGCCAAAGCCTAAAGAAAACATTTGAATATTCTTAGAACTATTAATCCTGTTTTGGCTTCTGGGAAGCAAACTATAAAGAAACAAGGGATGGCTCAAGACTTTTGCACATATATTGTGCTGTTGATGACACTCATGCCCATCTTCAGAGCAACCTTGGACCTCAGTTATAAACGGACTCAACGCGAAGATTTATTCAGTGAAAGTCTGTGGCAATGGCTTGTAAACTGATGCAACGCAGAAATTAATGCATCTTGAGCAACAAACTGATAACAAGATCAAAGCCGCATACAACAAACTGCAATGATAAAAATATCCATCACTCATTTTATCTAATGGCATTTTCCTTACTATTGTTTATTATTTACCTTGCAGGCAAATTCCATTGAGATCACAGATCTCTTTTGCAAAGGAGGCCTGGGCCTTTTATCATATCTAGCACTGCCATTTAGTAAAAAAATAACCTCTTAGGTCAGATGTCATACGCCATGATGAAGATGGACTTAAACACAGGACTAACCAGGCAGGGGGCAGATAAATCGCAAAGATAAACTTTCATCTGATTCAACACAACCAAGGGCCAAGATAAAGCTGGGAATTAGAAAATCCCAACATATACTGTAAATTAACAAAAGATAAAAGCTGAGCTGAACAGAAAAGTGTCTGGAGTAGGAAACTACAGTTTGTGTGAATATTAACAGATGATCTGACAAGAGCAAACAAAACTGGAACAACTGGGGTAATTTGGAGAATGAGAAAGAGAACAGGTGCTTCTGTTGGAGCAACTTTGCTAGCTAAAATCAGTAAAATGTAAAAGTAACAAAAGGCTACCTAACAGTAGCAAAAGATTAGCTAAAAGTAGCAAAACAGAAGCAAAAAGTGGCACAAGAAGATAACATAAATCAAATATGCTGACTCAGATGTTTAAGAAAACAACGTTTCAGAAGAAAAATGTTGGTAAATAAAGTTAAATATTTTAAGAATCATAAATGTCACAAAAAGCTAAACTTATAGCACCCGTTTCTTCAATGAGCTGAACATTTTGGCACATGAATATTAAAACAATAGCACCTTGTTAGATTGCAAAATAAGAAGTGGAAGAATAAAAAAAAAACATGAAGTGAACATTGACTCACAACACACACAAAAACATTCCAAATGCTTGGAAAACCACTTTTGTTTTACCGTTATTGAAGGGAGGAGACTCCACTATACTGAACAATTATCGATCAGTTTCAAAACTCTGTATTTTAGCTAAGGTTGTAAAAAAATTGGTAAATACTCAAGTCTAGAAGTATTTGGATTCTTTTAACATTTTAATCTTCCCACCAATCTGGCTTCAGGAAACAACACAGCACGACTGCTTCACTGAAGGTTTTTAATGATATTGTTACAACACTGGATTCTAAGGATTACTGTGCCACATGTTATCTAGACCTGTCCAAAGCTTTCTTTACTGTAGATCATGACATCTTATTCCATAAGCTCTCAGATATTGATTTCTCAGATAACACTATGGATGGTTTTCTAATTATCTCTCAGATCGAAGGCAATGTGTTCAGCACAATAGTACTTCTAGATATCTAACTGTCAATAATGGTGTGCCACAAGGCTCAGTTTTAGGACACAATCTCTTTAGAATTTATGTAAGTAACGTAGGTCAAAACATTCCTGATGCCTCCTTCCATCTCTATGCCGATGATACAGTTGTTTATTGTTGAGCTAATACAGCTGCCAATTTTTTCCAGCTTCTACAGTCTGCCTTTGACATCATTCAGTCTGACTTGTTCCATTTCAGACTGGTGCTAAATGCTAATAAAACCAAGGGAATGTTGTTTTCAAACAGAAAGTTGGTACCAGTATTTCTTCCGTCTATCTTGCATGATGTTCCTATTGAGTTTGTGGATTCTTACAAATACTTGGGATTTTTAGTTGATGCACATCTCTCTTTTAAGTCACATGTTGAAAACTTGGTAAACAAACTCTGTTTAAACCCAGTTTTAGTTTCAGTTAAAGTTAGGAGCACTAACGATCGGTCGTTAGGCTCATGGTCCTCCCTCATCATGTGAACAACTAGTTTTGGCTGTCCACAGCAAACTGGTTGATCCACTATGAAAAGGGACTATTTATAAGACTGGGTTTAGTGCAGCTCCTCAGACTGACAAAGTATTTTGGATAAAAGAACAAATGTTTCAACACGTTTTTTTTTTTTTTTAATCTGTTAGATTTTTCTACCTGGATTATTGAGCATGCATCAGAATAAAACTGGACTTCTTTTTCAGAAATAGAACTTGCTTAACTCTGAATGCAAGGAAACACCTTGTAGCTGCAACTTTCCTACTGGCTATTGATTATAGTTACATTATTACATGAATGCCCCTGCCAGCTCCTTGCAGATGTTGGAAGCTGTCTACCATGGTGCGTTAAGGTTCATACCCATCACTGTACTTGCAAAAATATCTGAAGCTGTCCACTTTGATTTCTTTAAGGGATTTAAATGAATTGATAAGGTCAACAGAAAAATCAAAGCAAAGATGTTCTTGTTTTTAGTATTTTACATTGTTTTATAAGGCACCTTGATTTTATTGTTTTATAATACTACTTTTTATTTTAATTGTATTTTATTTATGCTTATTCTTGTCTGTACTTTATATATTGTCTGACTAAAACATCTCGCTTGAGACTAACCTGTATAAATAAAGGTTGAATGAATGAACAGAAGTGGGGCAACAAATGAATGAAAAATTTGCATCGTCAAACAAATTGTCCTACAAAACTGAAACTGCGTTTGTGCAACATGCTTTACTAAACTTGTAAACAGAACATGACATTATAAAACAAAAACCTGCAGACTAAAACACCACATACTCCACTGCACCACCTCCACATTGATCTTTTCAGCGTATTGTAGCTCTTTTACCTTACACACACACACACATAAATATATATATATACAGGTCCTTCTCAAAAAATTAGCATATTGTGATAAAGGTAATTATTTTCCATAATGTAATGATCAAAATGAAACTTTCATATATTTAAGATTCATTGCACACCAACTGAAATATTTCAGGTCTTTAATTGTTTTAATACTGATGATTATGGCATACAGCTCATCCATCCATCCATCCATTTTCTTTACCCGCTTATTCCATTTTGGGTCACGGGGGTCGCTGGTGCCCATGTCCAGCAATCACTGTGCGAGGGGCGGGGTACACCCTGGACGGGTCGCAAGTCCATCACAGGGCCACATAGAGACAAACGAGACAAACAACCATTCACTCTCTCACTCACACCTAGGGACAATTTAGAGTTACCAATCAGCCTAACATGCATGTTTTTGGACTGTGGGAGGAAACCGGAGTACCCGGAGAAAACCCACGCATGCACGGAGAGAACATGCAAACTCCACCCAGAAAGGCCCCCGGACCGGGGTTTGAACCAGGGACCTGCTCGCTGAGAGGCAGCAGCTCTACCAGTTGCGCCACCGTGCTGCCCGGCATACAGCTCATGAAAACCCAAAATGCCTGTCCCAAAAAATTAGCATATTTCATCCCACCAATGAAAGACAAGTGTTTTTAATAGAAAAAACGCCAACCTTCAAATAATCATGTTCAGTTATGCACTCAATACTTGGTCGGGAATCCTTTTGCATGAATGACTGCTTCATTGTGGCGTGGCATGGAGGCAATCAGCCTGTGGCACTGCTGAGGTGTTATGGAGGCCCAGGATGCTTCGATAGCGGCCTTAAGCTCATCCAGAGTGTTGGGTCTTGCGTCTCTCAACTTTCTCTTCACAATATCCCACAGGTTCTCTATGGGGTTCAGGTCAGGAGAGTTGGCAGGCCAATTGAGCACAGTAATACCATGGTCAGTAAACCATTTACCAGTGGTTTTGGCACTGTGAGCAGGTGCCAGGTCGTGCTGAAAAATGAAATCTTCATCTCCATAAAGCTTTTCAGCAGATGGACGCATGAAGTGCTCCAAAATCTCCTGATAGCTAGCTGCATTGACCCTGCGCTTGATAATACACAGTGGACCAACACCAGCAGCTGACATGACACCCCAGTGATTGTGGAAACTTGACATTGGACCTCAAGCAATGTGAATTCTGTGTCTCCTCTCTTCCTCCAGACTCTGGGACCTTGATTTCCAAAGGAAATGCAAAATTTACTGTAATCAGAGAACATAACTTTGGACCACTCAGCAGCAGTCCCAGGCGAGATGCTTCTGACGCAGTCTCTTGTTCAAGAGTGGCTTGACCTGGGAAATGCGGCACCTGTAGCCCATTTCCTGCACACGCCTGTGCACGGTGGCTCTGGATGTTTCTACTCCAGACTCAGTCCACTGCTTCCGCACGTCCCCCAAGGTCTGGAATCGGCCCTTCTCCACAATCCTCCTCAGGGTCCGGTCACCTCTTCTCGTTGTGCAGCGTTTTCTGCCACACTTTTCCCTTCCCACAGACTTCCCACTGAGGTGCCTTGATACAGCACTCTGGGAACAGCCTATTCGTTCAGCAATTTCTTTCTGTGTCTTACCCTCTTGCTTGATGGTGTCAATGATGGCCTTCTGGGCAGCAGTCAGGTCGGCAGTCTTACCCATGATTGCGGTTTTGAGTAATGAACAAGGCTGGGAGTTTTTAAAAGCCTCAGGAATCTTTTGCAGGTGTTTAGAGTTACGTCGTTGATTCAGATGGTT